CTCTTATCTTTTTACTTATAGGTTTCTGGTTTGTGATTACCACAAGATTCCTACATAACATTCTATGTATATAGGAATCTATATTGAGTCGATAGTCTCTTTAGCTTAACTTGTTTCTAAAAGCTCTACTCTTTTACTCCCCTCCTCCCACATTTTATGTTTTTGAAATCATATCATCTAACCTCTTATTTTGTATGTGTCTATCCATTACCCTCTTATCACCGAAATAGGTAATTTTAGTAATTTTGTCTTTTAACCTTCGTATTATCTTCATGGGTGGTTGATCTGCTACTTGTATTATAGTTTTGCCTTTACCAGTGATTTTATTGCATGTTTTTTTTATATATGTATATAATTTTCTTATCCCTATTTGTGGTCTTCTCTTTCCCACTTAAATAAGTCTGTTCAGCATTTCTTGTAGAACTGGTTTCTTGATGATAAACTCCTTTAATTGTTGCTTGTCTGGGAAGATCTTTATCTCTCCTATTCTGAATGACAACCTTGATGGATAGAGCATTCTTGGCTGTAGGTTTTTTCCTTTCAGCACTTTAAATATGTCATGCCACTCCCTTCTAGTCTGTAGGGTTTTGGCTGAGAAGTCTGCCAATAGCCTTATGGGCTTTCATTTGTATGTCACTTGTTGCCTTTCTCTTGCTGCTTTTAGGATTCTCTCTATCTTAATTTTGGACATTTTAATTATAATGTGTCTTGGTGTGGGCCTCTTTTGGTTTGTCTTGTTTGGAGCTCTCTGAGCTTCCTGTACCTGAATGGCTGTTTCCTTCCTTAGGTTAGGAAAGTTTTCAGCTATTATTTCTTCAAATAGATTCTCTGCCCCTTTGTCTCTCTCTTCTCCTTCTGGGACTCCTGTAATACGAATGTTAGTGAGCTTGATATTGACCCAGAGTTCCCTTAGACTGTTCTCATTCTGTCTAATTCTTTTTCTTTTATCTGTTCAGTGTGGGTAATTTCCTCTAGTTTTTCTTCCAGCTTGCTGATCTGTTCTTCTGTATCATCTACTGTGATATTGAGTCCCTCTAGTGAATTTTTCATTTCTAGTGTTGTATTCTTCATTTCTGATTGGTTCTTTTTTACACTTTCCAGTTCTTTGTTGATGTTTTCACTGTGTTCATCCAGTCTTCTCCCAGTATCAGTGAGCATCCTTATGAATTTTTGCTTGAACTTTTTGTTCAATAGATTGCTTATTTCTGTTTCATTTAGTTCTTTTTCTGGGGTTTTGTCCTGTTCTCTTGCTTGGAACATGTTCCTTTGTCTCCCCATTATGCCTCTTTCTCTGTGCTTACATCTACGTATTAGGTGAGTTGGCTATGTCTTCTGTTCTTTGAGAAGTGGCCTTATGTAAGAGATGTCTTTTGAGGCCCAGCTGTGTGCTTCCCTCTTGTCACCAGTCCAAATGATCCAAGAGTGACCCCTGTGTGGGCTACTTTGTCTTTCTGCTGTGGCAGGGTTGCGCTTAATGCAGGTACTCAGGGAGTCTAGTCTTCCCTTCCCTGGCAAGGCATTTTTAAATCGGGTTTGGGGAGCCTCAGCACCATTGGCTACAAGGTTTAATAGCACACTCCTGTTGCAGTTTTCCTGTTAATTGAGTAGGTACCTGGTGTAGCTGATTGCTAGGCCCAGGGGCTTACAGTTGCTGTAGGCCTCAGGCCTGCAAGGCTGTTAGCAGCTCTCTCAGAGTTGTAGTTGAGTGGGGCTGGCCCCAGGCAGGGAAGCACCCAATTGTTTCAGGCTTTGGAAGGTGGGGCTGATCCTCCTTGTGGCTGTTTGTGAAGCACAGGTCTTCTGCCACTGATAAGCCCCACCCCTCCACAGGTCCACACACACAGTCAACACAGCCCTTGTCCATGCACACTTCCCTGGAGCATACCCTGACACCCCACTGCAGAGGCCCCCACCTCTCCACCAATGCCCCCCACAGTTCACCTGGTCCTCACATAGGCTCTGCCCCACAGAAGCAGACACAGTTGCCTGCCGGTAGAGTATCATGGTACCCAGTCTATGCAGGCTGACAGGTTGCCTGGGGGCTTGCTCTTGGGTGGGGGCTGGTCCCTAGGGCAGCTGCCTGCCCTGGCTGAACTGTATTAAATCTACACTCTAGTGGGTGTGGCAGATCCCTGGGCTAATGGGCCAGGGGAAGAATTTCAATGGCATCTGCCAGTGTCTGTGTCAGCACGCCTGTACTAGGTCACGACATTGTCCACCACCAGTGTCTCAGTGTCTGGAGAGGCCTCACCTCTCACTGAGATGCACCCAGAGCCTATTGGGTGAGTTCCCTTTCACCAAAGGACTGCGCAGCTTTCTTCTTGGTGATTTTGGGTTGTTCTCAGAGATGTGTGAATTTGTGCATGGGTTCTTTAAGAACAGGGGTTTTTTTGCTTTTTCTGATAGCTTTTCTGGGGGTATTCCCCACTGAAGTCAATAGCCATCAAAGCCAGAGAGTAGGACACTCGTCTCTGTTGTGCTGAGTCTGAAGGATGCTTATAGCAGTAATGTGCCCCCACTAAGGTCCCCACTTTTCCAGGGAGGGTTGCGTACCTTAGGGTGGCTCCCGTCTGTCTGGCTGTGAAGTTCCGTGGCTCGCAAAGGTGGCTTTTTTCTCACCAGGAGGAATTTCTGCCTCTTCCACCTCAGTCAGGACTGTCCCTTGTTGTGGGGGTTCTTTTTATCCAGTTTTCAGTTTTCTCTCCAGGGTAATTTTTACAAGAATAGTTGTAACCTGGTTGTGTTTGTGGGAGGAGATGAGTTCAGAGTCTGCCTATGCCACCGTCTTGATGAGATGTCCCTGCATCTTTTAAAAATTAAGAACATTTTCCTACCTACCCAATGTAACACTACCACATCTAGTTAGATTAATAATTCCTTAACATCATCTTTCATCCAGCACATATTCAAATTTTTCTAATTGTTCCAAAATTTTGTTCACACCTAGTTTGCTTAAATCAGGAGTCAATCCAGAACCACACATTGTGATTGGTTTTTCTGTTCTTTATGTCTGTTTTAATCTAGGATGGTTCCTTTATTCTTAACATTGATTTGTTGAAGAGAATAAGCCAGTGGTGTTTTAGCATGTTCCACTTTATGGATTTGTCTCATTGTTTCCCCATGATGTCCTCCCATGAGTTTCCTGGAAAGGTGTGGTTAGAGTCCATTAAGTAAGATAAAACTTAATATTGGATTATGGTGGACATAGTCTGATTCCAACATTTGTACTGTTATATTATTTTCATCTTGCCACTAGAAAGTAATCTGTATGATGTTCTTTATAACCAGAAACATGTTAAGTTCTTCATCAGTTATTCACGTTTCTTATACAAACTGATAATCTTTAAGTTTCTAATTTAATTAGAAGTTCTTTATTATCGTTTTCTAATTATATAATTGCTTTTACATTTAATTACTAACATTCTTTTGAAGAGTTTTCTCTAATGAAGTGGGACTATTTAGTTTATTAGAAAGCAGGTTAAATGCTTAATTTTTCTCCTTTAGTTATCCAATTTTAAGTAAGGAGATGAATTAATAATATGTGTTTCAAATGGTGACAAATGAATTTTTCCTGAATTTTTCTTTTTTGGATATCATTTTGGAATTCACAGACTTTCATAAATTCAGTGTGTTTCAGTAAACTACAAGTAACAGAATGTGTTGTCCTAGAAGCTACGTGAAGAAAGTTTGTCAGGGAAAAAGAATTGATCGACTGTGTCAGTATAGCAGCTAATTCAAGTAGGATGAAGATTGAGAATTGACCATTGGATTTAGCAATGTGGAGGTTATTGGTGACCTTGACCACAACAGTTTTGAAGGAGTTCTGGGGGCAAGTACCTGACGGAGTGGGTTTAAGAAAGATTGGGAGGAGAGGAATTAGAGAGCAAGTCTTTGAAGGGATTTTCCTGCAAAATGAAGCAAGAAAAAGGAGACGGAGACAGTAGTTGTTAGGACAGTGAGTCAAGAGAAATGTTTCTTTGTTTTGTACAGATAGCTTTTAGTAAGTAGCCAGAACTCATTGTGGGGGACAAAAAGCTCAATCTCTGTATCTTGTTTTGTTGGTACATTCTGCCTTGTGAAGGACAAGAGCCCATAAGAATTTCCTTTTTAAATTACTTTGTCAGCAGTCTCATTAGGCTGACTCCCCTATAGACTCTGCTTCTGTCCACCTTATTTTCTTCCTTTTTCTTTTTTTTGGGCGGGAGGGAAGATTAGCTCTGAGCTAACATCTGCCACCAGTCCTCTTTTGCTGAAGAAGACCTGCCCTGAGCTAACAGCCATGCCCATCTTCCTCTACTTTATATGTGGGACAACTGCCACAGCAATGCTGGACAAGCGGTGCCATGTCCGCACTTGGGATCTGAACTGGTGAACCCCGGGCCGCCGAAGCGGAACATGGAAACTTAACTGCTCCCCACCAGGCCGGCCCCGCTGCCTTATTTTCTTCATCCTCTCTGCCACTCCATTAGCAACCACTTCCCCTTCTTTTATAGCCTAGCCAAAGCATATTTCTTCCAGACCCTTTTTTTCTGACATATAACATTTGTTAGTTTTAGGTGTACAACATAATGATTTGATATATGTATATATTGTAAAATGATCACCACGATAAGTCTAGTTATTCATCAGCACACATAAGTTACAATTCTTTTCTTGTGATGAGAACTTTTAAGATCTACTCTCTTAGTGTCTTTCAAATATACAATACAGTTATGTTACCTATAGTCATCATGGTATACATTACATCTCCAGAATTTATTTATCTTCTAACTGGAATGATACAGTAGCAAGTAAAATGTAAGAGATAAAAGGGAGAGGTTCTGGAGTAAGCTAGGCGAAGGAGTTTGAATGTCATGCCTACAGAGGAGGGACTGGCCTGAGGTAGAACCATAAATAATTCAACAGACGAAGAGTAGAGGGTGTGAGTGCAGATGCAGGGACATGCTGGTGTGAGAAGAGTCTTTGGAAGCTCCCTTGTGATCGCCTCCATTTTCTCCTAGGAATCAAGATCACCAGCTGAGAAGAAGTTTGGGAGTGAGGACTTGGGAGTTTGAGGAGAGAGGAGAAGGTATGAAAAGACAATATGGAGGGGTGTGTGGGTGAGTTGACTAGAGACAGATAATAAGATTGCCTGGCAATCTGTAGGGTCCCGCTGAGGTTTCTGGTTATGGATTTAAAAGGGCCAGTCAGGGGCTGGCCGGTGGCTGAGTGGTTAAGTTCATGCGCTCCACTTTGGCAGCCCAGGCTTTTGTCGGTTCAGATCCTGGGCGCAGCCATGGCACCGCTCATCAAGCCATGCTGAGGCGACATCCCACATGCACAACTGGAAGGACCCACAACTAAAAATACACAACTATGTACCAGAGGGCTTTGGGGAGAAAAAGGAAAAATAAAATCTTTAAAATGGACCGGTGAGCTTGGTTGTGTGCATAGGACTCCAGTGTATGGATGTACCATCCTTTGCTCCACTCATCCCCTGTTGATAGACAGGTAGGTTGTTCCAATCTTTTGCTACTAGAAATAATGCCCCAATGATTAACAATGTGCATATATAGTTTCTATTTGTGGAGGTGTCTTCAGCATAGATTCTAAGAAGTGGGATAGTTGAGCCAAAGGGTAAAGACATTTGTCATTTTGACAGACATTAGATATTTATGATTTTGTTAGCTTATCCCGTTTTCCACTCTCATCCCCAATGTCACAGCGCTCATTTCCCCCGCAGTCCTGCTGCACAGAATATGTTGTCAAACTTTTGGATTTTTGCCGATCTGAGAAGTGAGAAGTGTTACCACAGTAAAGTTTTGTTTTGCATTTCTTTTATTATAAGTGAAGTTGAGAAAATTTTAATACATTAAAGACCATTTGTATTGTCCTATGAGGTCTCTATTCCTGGCATTTGCCCATTATGCTATTGGTTGTTAGTTCCTTTCCTCTCAGTTTCTAGGTGCTCTTTATACAGAAGGGAGATTAGCCGTCTATGATATAAGTTGCACATATTTGCCCTCTGCCAGATGTTCTTACCTGATACCTTACCAAATTGACCAAGCCATAAATAATCTCCACCTCTAAACTCCTTATAGCATCCTCAGGGACTGCCTTGTGTGATATTTGCATTTATATTTTATCTCTTCTACCAGATTATATCTACTCTCTGATAGAGTACTTTTGAGTGAATTAAAAAGCAGTCAAAATTTTGTTTTAACTATCACTTGAAATGTGTAAATCATCAACTAGAGTTTTGGAATTTGTCCTGTGTTACAATTGTTATTTAACATTTTTAGAATTTATTTAGTTCATTCCTTTCATTAACTCCCAACATGATTTTAGAGTTGAAAATAATTCTGATACCAAAATTGTACAAGGTTGGCACTTCATAACAAATCCTAAGGCCAATTTTACTTATGAACAAAATTGTAAGAATCCAAAATCAAAATTGGCAAATCAAAAACAGCACCAAGCTTAAAAGAAAATGTAAAATACAGGATAGTTAGATGTATCCATAAATATTGATTAACATTAGGATATCTATTAATGAATATATTGTCATATTAACAATTTTTAAAAAATCATTATCATCTGGTATTTGTTAAAAATTATTTGATAATTCCACACTCATTTATGGTTTAAGAAAAGGAGAATCTCTAACAAACTAGGAATAGAAGGAAAATTCTCTACTTGATAAGGAATATTTCCCAGAAATCTATAACAAATCGTTTTCAATTACAGTAATGGCCTTCATTTCTGCTGCTTCACAGTGCACTGGATGTCCTAGCTGATGCCAAATGCAGGATAAATGTTGGAAAGCAAGACAAATCTGTCAATATTTTCAAAACAATATGATTTTATACCTAAAAAATATAAGTAAATCAACTGACAAACCGTTAGTTACAGTAATACAGTACAGTAAGGTGGCCACGTGGAAGAACAGCTTTCAAAAATGAATAATTCCCTGTGCTCCACCCGTGCTGCATTAGAAAATGTCATAAATGCAAAGACACGCTCATAATGACGATAAAAACATCGAGCATCCAGAAACAGCTCTTGTCCTGCTCGCCTGTGGCCTCCCAGTTGCCAAACACAGTGGTCAGTCTTTAGTCCTCTTCATTGTGTTTGATCCACCAGCAATATTTGATTAAGCCAACCCCTCCCTTCTGAAACATTTTCATCACTTGGCGTCCAGAATACAGGTTTCTTGATTTTGCCACTCCCTCGTTGGACACAATTATGTAAATATATGTATCAGTGCACATCATTCATAAAGACAAATATAGTACTCTTTTTTATGTATTTTTATTTATTTTTTAATTTTTTTTGAGGAAGATTAGCCCTGAGCTAACATTTGCCACCAATCTTCCTCTTTTTGCTGAGGAAGACTGGTCCTGAGCTAACATCTGTGTCCATCTTCCTCTACTTTATATGTGGGATGCCTACCACAGCATGGCTTGACAAGTGGTGCCATGTCTGCACCTGGGATCTGGACTGGCAAACCCCGGCCCGCTGAAGTGGAACGTGCGAACTTAACTGCTGCGCCACCAGACTGGCCCCGACAGATATAGTGCTATTAACACGCATATTGTAATATTTTATTACGATGAATTTTGCCACTTGCAATGTTTCCCTGAATCCCCCAGGTGGCAGACAAATACAGTTTCTGCTTGATGCTTAAACTTGGTAAGAACATTACTTACTTTTGCAAATCAATTAGAAATATTAATCAGAATTCTTGAGTACAGTCCAGCATACTTACAACATGATTAAGGAACTGAGTTTTTATAACTTACCTGAGACTTTTACTAGAAACATAGATGGTGATTGTTAAATTGCTGAGCAATCATTGTAATTGGGCGCTCTGGTAACTATAGATTCCACCTGATCCATCATCCTAAACACAGAAATGTATCTGCTGGCTATGAAAGCTAATATTGATCTTTCATTTGGGATCTGAAAAAATCAATTAAGCATCACAATATTAAAGCAAAAGCTCTCTTTAACCGACTGATTTGATATTTTTAAATTCTTAGGAGATTTCTACAGTTATTTTTAATTTTAAACTCGTGTCAGTTAAAATTGGTCAAAAAGGTTGGGTGTATGTCGTACTTGATGTAATGTCCCCACGTGCTCTAAATACATTAAGCTTACCCCACCTCCTCACCCTCACAGCTGCATTTTCCTGATGTTTCAGTCTGCTTTTTATATTTCGATCTATTTTACAATAAGGTTAACAGGAACATGACTACAGCTATGTAGACGGATGGGAAAATATTTGAAAAGCTCTCATGAGAAGACACAAATATATCTGGGGTTTTATTTTTTAAAGTCTGTAGAACATTTCCAAGTAATGAATTCTCCCCCGTACATGATGAGGCTGGAATGACTGTTGACTCATCTTGAATTAGAACGTTAATTAAACACATCTTTTACACATTTCCTAAATTTAATCTGACTGTGCTGCTTGAGTTTAAAATGATTTGAAAGGTAAACAAACTGGAGATAATCAGTTTAAAAAACCATCTGGGCATTGTTAAATTATATTCATTGTTCTAAGTATTTTTCAAACTTTCGTAGTCAAAGCCCTAGAACAACAACATTGGCGAAAACTGAGTAAGAAAAAAAAAAGCCAATTATAATCTCACCACTTTGAAGAACAGTTTTTATTTCACATAGTCCTTTTTTGTATTCAGTATATGGGTACATTTTTTCCATTGTAGTAAACTTTGGGTATATACAACTTTGATTTTTATAGAAGGCTCTTTTTTGTTTTTAAAAATGTGGGGCCTATACTAACTGGTATGACACAGAGTTTACACTGCCTCCTACTGCCTCTTAAGAGAAGTTAAGTGCTTTTGTCAGGGATGGGCACCTGAGTCAGAATCTACTCACTAGATAGAGTCCACACTGATGAAGTAAGCCATCCAGTCATGGGTGCCCTACCTGAAAGGGTGAAGCTGAAGGAAGAGAGACACCAGGAGAGAGTGAGAAGGAAAGACCACGTGGACACTGGTGTAACCAGTCCTAGAATTATCTTGGTTATGAAATGGCTTAACAACTTTAAACCACGCACGTCCTTACAATTAACCCCCTTTTTCCTTAAGACTGAATGAACTTCTGTTCTTTGCAACCTAAAGTCTGACACATCACATTTTGATAAATTATCAATTCACATCCTCTTTCCCCTTCTTTTTCTGTGTTCCCGCACCTTTTATGTGAGCTTGGTCACCAAATGATTCATTTGAAATAGAAATAATTTTTAAAGACAGATTCACCAACTCTGAAAACAACTTGATGTTGCGTAAAAATAATGAATATTTTAAAACTTAGCTTTCCCAGTTTCGTTATTATCCTTTATCCGGGAAATTGTATAAAAGATGTATTCATTTTCTAGGAGAAAAATCTACAATCTCCATAAATTTACATTATCTAAAATGCCATGTCTGTTTTCAGGACATGATTTTGGCCCACAAAAGACTCTCAGTCAAGTATGTATGCCTCATACTCTTTGGTGTAATAATATCCTGCACAATAGTACAATACTACCACTATACTCTGTGACTTTCATCCAAAGCCTCTCATAAATTCCTCCTATGAGGCAGTGAGTACTTAGGCTCTACGATGGTCATTTCATTGTTTACTGGTGATAGTACACAGAGGATGGAATGTGCTATCCCGGGCACAAAGAGTTCTGCTGGGAGTGTAGAGAGAATAAAATGTCTTCATACTTCAGTGACTGTACAGAAAACTCTTGTGCAAAAGAGAGAAAGCAAAGCTCCAAAAAGTATGTATTTATTATCTTTGTGCTGGTTAGCTGGAACTCTTTGTCGATGAGGTCATAGTTTTCATCCCAGTTTGGCTCATTTATCTCTGCTAGCTTCCTTAATCATAGCGTGCACCACCAGCCCCAGCCAATTGCCTGACAAATGTCTCTTCTGGGTCCAAAGGGAGCCTGAAAAGAGAAGAAAATAGGCGTCAGTCCAGTGGCGCAGCAGTTAGGTTCGCGTGCTCCTCTTTGGCGGCCCCGGGGTTCACCAGTTTGGATCCCAGGCCCGGGCCTATGCACCACCTGTCAAGCCG